ATAATAAGAAATGAAATTGAATGATGATTAATTAATATATTATATTATTTGTGATTTGTTTTAAATGTACTATGAAATGTTAAAATTTACTACTTTTAACATTCCCTTTTTGGTCATTCTACATTTTTCAACTAACTTGTCCGTTTGTTTTTATCAATGTAATTTACTCATTGGCTAACACTTAGGGGTCGTTTGTTAACTCTTAATAGTTTAATTAAGAGGTGAATCTTGTTTGATAAAAAAAATCTGTTCCTTAATGGTTCTAAAACCCTCTGAATGATTTTGTATTCTAGACTTCCCTTTACCATTCAGCGCCATAATTTCATTGTAAACAATTACCAAACAATTATATTTCATTTTGCACTATCATCATAAGAGCCTCTTAATCATTCTAACCATTTAATCATTTTACACCAAATCATTCAGCAACTGTCAAACATCCCCTTAGTGTATAACCTAGTTTATCAAACATAACCATAACGTAAAAAGCTATTTCCCATTGTTTATCAGGACGTTGCTATTTAAACTTTCTTCGTTAAATCTGAACTTTGAAAACCCGAAAACCGACACATGATATTGATATATACGAGAAGAAATTTACAGAAAACGGTTTAAAAAACACATAAAAAAGTAAATTTAATATAACTATTTTTGTACGAAGGATTCATTTGATCTTTGTAGTCCTATGTTTCAATCATATCCTTAATATCCATGTTCTTACTTTTATGATTACATTTTTATAATAATAATAATAAGTTGGTCATAAATAAACAATTAAATGTTTTCAATAAAAAAACTTTAATAAAATATTTAAAATTATTTATTTAGTTTGAAATATATATGAATATTTGAATGGACAAATTGTATGAAAATGTAACGTATTTAACGTACTTTCAGAACTTCAATTTTGGTACCCAAGATGTAAAGTTTTAAACATTTAAGTACCCAGGTAACCGGTTGAAACATTAACTGGTTATCATGCTGATGTAGTATCCAACTCAATATTATTTGTTGACGTGGTTAGTGATATGAATTTTTTTAATCTAAAATTAGTCTTCAATCGGTTACCCGGATACTTAAATGTTTAAAATATTACATCTTAGGTAGCAAAATAAAAGTTTTAAAAGTACGTTATCTAAAATAGAAATCAAGTTAATTATAATTTTCACTTTTGAAAATAGGAACAAAAGTAAGTATATATAGTTTAATTTTTTTTAAATAAAAAGTTTTAAGACATTGTTCTTCAAGATGAATAGATTCACTTAATTTAAATCAAATGCAAAGTTGCCTTCGACGTGTAGCTCAGCTAGCAAAAGACGGGACGACTTTGTCTAAATACAAGATAGGTTTCTGGTTCGACCCTCATCCCATCTCAATGTCTAGTCTCAGCCACTGAGTGAACCCAAAAATTGGCCCTCACATTGGTGTCCTTATAGGTGGACTCCGTATGGAACCGGTCAGGCTTGTCGATAATTAACTTTTCACCCAAATCAGATGTAAGAGTTGGGTTCACGTGAGACACGATTTTTACACTCGAAACTTCACACCAAAATGTTGTGAAGGTAAAAAAAAAAGCTAAATCTTCACAGCAAAAACACTGTGAATGTTAACTTCACAGTGTTTTCCTGTAAAGTTTCAATTGTAAAAATCGTGTCTCATAAAAACAGCATTGTCCCCCATGAACTGTAATGTTTATTGTTATAATTTGTTGCATTATGCATTTATCACACTTTTTAAAAAAAAAACAAAAAAGTTGTGTGGACATTTCTTATTTTCTTAGCAAAATTTAATAATCAAGAATCGTAATCATGGAAATGTTGAGTGGAAAGGAGTATTAATTATTAAAAGGATGAAAGTGCGGGATGAGCGTATGTTACCTCCTTCAACTTTCAAATTAAATAATCCTATAATTAATAATCAGATATTTTTTTTTGGGGTATGTAGAAAATCAACCGATCCAATTGAAACCAACTGATCCAATTAGAACTGACCGATCATGATTGGATATGCAATTGTAATTGGATCGGATCGAAGAAAATTTCAATATCCAATTTGGATCGGTCGGTTCTCGGATAGCAGTGTAGAACCGACCAAAATTGAACCGATCAACATCCAATTAATCATCCGATGACCATCCAGTTACCCGTTCAATCATTATCCAATTAATTTATTTTTAAATTATTTAAATCAGAATTTGTTTTATGTGAGACTTTGAAATTTTAACTTCCCTTGTGTTGGGTTTAGCACATATTAAAAGTGATTAATTAATTTGTATCATTGTTAGAGAATTGGATTGAATTAACACACTTGATGGATCCAATCGCATTGGATCATCCATTGAATATCCAATAAAAGTATCCAATGGATGGAACCGAACGATCCAATCATCCATAGGATTGGATTGGAGTTATCCAATGTTAATCCGATCAGATCAGTTGGCAAAATCTAACATCAAATGGATGATTGGATCGGTTCGGTTCCCCTCACATCCAATGAATCTAACAGGGAATGAAGTTTAACAAGGAATGGAATTTTTGGACTTCTAGAATAATTAACCCATTTTATTATAGATTACCAAACAGTTTCTTTTATTTTCATTTTAATTGATTACTGCTTAATAACTCTAACCAAACACTCTCTAAGTTTTGATGTTGACTGATGTGATGAGAAAAATTAATGGTAGGGGTTTATTTAGCAAATACACAAAGGTGCATTTATCTCATCCTTTTTTGGGTGGTTTTTAATTACGATTCCGTCCCTATGGTTTGAAACCGACTTTCGTTCGTGTGGTTTTGAAATTACAGTACATATGGTTTACAATTTATTGTTATTTTCATCCCTGACAATAATAACCCATATCTTTAAATACGAGTGACAAAAACATAAATAAAGTAAATATAAGAACTAAAACAGTAAATCTTCAACAAACCACGAGGACGGCAGTTCACCTTTCACCTACCTTATTTTTATGTTTCTTTCTGGTGATTATTTTTTAAAATATTCTTAACTACTTGACGAAAGTCAAAGATTTTATCTGATTTTGATTAAGACGTCATCGCTGTTTTCGGAATCATTCAATATTTTTGTCGAACATATGCACCTTTAAGTGCATTAAAAGTCTATGAAGTCATTCAAAGTGTTTTTATCACCGTTTCATCTTATAAGTATTTTCTATATGACATGTTCTAAAAAGCGTCAAGTGAAAATGTTATGAAAACAGCGTTTTGCTTGAATGACATTTTAAAAATATAAACCGCAAAATAAGAAATCGAAACGTTATCAAACATGGCTAAACGAGTATTTCATTGACGGATTTTAATTTTCGACCGGAATTTTCAGTTAATTTGTGGACGATTAACCATCACTAACGGATTAACCATCACCACTGGATTACAAACGGATTTTCTGTTGGCGATTGAGAAATACGACAGTAATCATGATCACCGACCACATTTAATTTCTCCGACTATAAGATCCGTTAGTGAAGAATTTTCCCGACAAATTATCAACGGATTTTTTGTCGATAAAAACCTCTATATTTTATAATTTTATTGCTTAATAATAAGAACTACTTTTTCATTTTTTTAAAATATTAATTATTTTTAAAAAATTAATAGTAATTTTAATTCATTTTGCCTTTTTTTTACTTATCCTTGAATTAAATTCTAAAAATTGTTAGAATTTTTTAAAACATATTTTCAATGCATCATAATTCATAAGCTATACAAACTAAGGGGTGTTTGATTAGAGGTATTAAGCAATAATTAATAAGAATGAAAATAAAATAAACTGCTTGGTTTTCTATAATATAATGAGCCCATTCCCTCCAGAAGCCCAAAATTTCATTCCTGGTTAAATTGGAAGGGGGGGGGGGGGGAACGAAAATTCATTCCCATTTTCATTCCTCGTCATTTTCATTTCTCAGCATGAGCCAAAAAACCCTAAGTTCATCTTCAATTTCCATGTAAAAAAATCAATAAAATAAGCATAAATTACAAAAATCGTTCTTAAGGTTTGCGGAAAATTTTGGATATCGTCCTCGTATTTGGAACTTACAGGATTTCGTTAATGAAATTGTCTCTGGCTGACCGTTAGAGCCAATAAGTGCCCCACGTGAGAGCAATTTGATAAATTTGTAGTTTCTTTTATATGTTTACTATACAAGTTTGTAAAAATACGTATGAAATTCTAAATTAGGCCCTCATCATCGACGCCCCTCCTTCTTTGGCAGTCCTTTCGTGAACCATTTCACCATCGCCCTAGGCCTCCTTCTCCAGCACCTCCACAATCGTGGTTTCCACCATCGTACCACTGATCCTGCAAAAAAGACGAATCGAACTCTCACTCTCACCCTCTACAATCCTACATCTCATCCTCATCAAGAGAGTTAAATGTGTGGAGATGGATTGCAGAAGAAAGGATTTAATGATAAAATAGTAAAATGACCAAAATGCCCCTCACATGATTTGCACAAGACGACACTTAATGGGCACCTTATAATTAACGGACATTATATAGGGTCAAAGACGATATCTGTAGAGAAATAAGAACTAGAATGATGGTTCTTCTAATTTCCAAACTGTAGGGACTATATCTAGAGTTCCACAAACCAGATGGACCGTTTTTGTATAATTTTACTGGTTAAATAAAAATCATATACATATCGAACTTGAAATGCCTCAAAATTTTCTCTACAATATCGAACTTTCACAGTGAAAAAACGAATCTCGAGAATAAACTTTGACAATGATCTCATGAGAAGCCCAACCTTTACGTCAATTATATGTAAAGATATTATGTCTTATTTCATGCTTCCAGGTGAAGCTTTGTTTAAGAGGCAAATCAAATACATATCCATTACCCCTACCTACTTATTGATGCCATTATTATTTAGTCAAAAGATATTTTTACAGGTAACGTTTTAAAGTATCTTTTCGACTTTGTAAAATGAATATAGCTCAACCGTGAACCTTTAAATGATTGGCCCTTTTAGCCATTATGAAGCAGGACTGATGTGCCACATTCAAACAAATCATGGTCTTAATCGTCACCCTCAAAACCCTCTTCAGTTCAGTCTGTTATGAAAACGGAGCAATGCCAAAAGCAAAACATGAATCCTACACGGTTTGCTCATTTACATCTATCTAAGTGATTGAAATCTTTTCAGATAACTGAAAAATTTCTGGGTTCGAATCTTTTACATCAGTATTCTCGATAGAGTGATTTGATACAACAAACAGATAGATAGACAGACAAACAAACAGTTTTGATTGATAATATATGAAAATTTGGAGGAGAAAAGGATAAGTTAAAGGCATGAAGGTGAGCATTTGGATGAAAAGCACAAAGACATACATACTCCTTCATCTCCATTTGATTTCTTTTTCAGGAATATTTTGCACTTTTTTTATTTTACTTAAAGTGGAAAAAGTATGCATACCCTACCATTCACTCTCTTCATTCCACTACTCTTTATTTATATATATATATATATTGGAGTGTTCAAATATAAACCGGCTCCATTTGTGTAAACCAATCTCATTCATCCATTTTCTTGATCAATGACCAAAATTAGTTTACTTTATTTTAGGAAATTAAATAAAAATATATATTAAAAATTTATTTTATTTCAACAGTAAAGGCATAAATGGTAAACAAAATTTAATATTTGGTAACATCCTACTCGATCTTTCATGAATCTTTTTTCATGCAAAATTATTTTCTTCCTTTCGTTCATGGTTTGATGCATTAATTCCTTTAAGCCTTGCAATCTTAAAGATTCTAAAGCATATTACAATCTTCAAGATTTTGGAGCAGTTTCTTCATGTATCCGTTTCATCATTCAATTATTTCATAACGAACCAAATACATTATGCAACCGTTTCACTAGTCATGCTCAAGAACGCCATGAACCAGTTTCACTTTCATGAAACTTATTTCATGTACAGTAATTTTCTTATTTCACCACTGATTTGATGGATTCATTCATTTAAGCCTTACAATCTTCAAGATTCTGGAACATGTTACAATCTTCAAGATTCTGTAGCAGATTAAAATCATTTATTCGTTTCATCATGCACTTAGTTCATGACGCATCAAATACAAAATGCACCGGTTTCAATTTTCTCTTCACTAACTAAATGGATCAACTACACAATCAATGCAACGGGTTCACCATGAAAATATTTCGATTCACATAATTTATTAGCAACATGAACCAGCTTCACGTTCATGAAACCTGTTTCATTTCTAGATTTTTTTTTGTTCATCTACGATTTGATGATTTCATTATACACTTCAATTGTTTCATCAAGACCCGTTTGCTGATTCTTAAAGATTACAATATATGAAATTCAAATTTTTAATATTATAATATAATTAAATATTTAAATGTTACCATTTATACAATTTTCTTTATTACGTTTTCTTAATTAAGATTTATTAATAACTTTCATATTTAATAGAAAATATTATAAATGACTGAAATACCCTTATTGATTAATTTTAATTAGAAAAAATAGAATTTTCCTATTGGTCGAAATTGGTTTACACGGTTTCTTAGAAATGCACGGTTTTCATTTGAACGTGCCTATATATATATATATATATATATATATATATATATATATAAGAGAGCCTAATCAAATGAGAACTGAATAGTTTGTGTTAACTATGAGGTCTAATCTCAACCACAAATTAACGGATAAATTAAGAAATTAATAATTATGGTAGTTTGAGTTAAAATTATAATTAGAGGGCATATTAGGTATTTTTAAAAAACTCCTCCCTCCTCTCTCATCTCTCCGACCTCCAATAGGAAAATTCCATTTTTTCCTACATACATGCATGCATGCATGCATACATGCATACATACATAACTTGTAAACTATAGGTGTTAGTGGTTAACTTAGATACACTGACTAATCCTCTGAATGACCATAGATGACCTGGAATCATTCTTGGTGAAACTTTATAGACGTAAGGACACTGACAACGTATGGATTCAAACTTACAGAACATGAGATTTTCCACTAAAATTATTATTTCTCCTTTTGCTTACGGATCTTTTTAATGATATAGGATTATTTCAGGAAACATTATAACAAAATTGGGTTTTTAGGACATCGTTAATTTCAAAGCGTCCTATTAAACTGATTTATACGACTCAATGTATAAGATTAAAAAATAAAGTGTTTTATCTAAAGGCGTTGTAATAAGTTTATAAAATGTTTTTTAATGTTTTAACAGGTTCTTTTTTAACATTTTTAATACAAAGCCATCTCATCGAATATCTTATAGGATACTTTTGAAAAAAAGTCCTATAAACCCATCTTCTTATAGAACAACTGTTTTTATAAGACTTTCAAATAACAATGTTTCGTATATTTTTGTTTCCATGTAAAATTTGTTCACTAAAATTAATAGAATGAAGATGGTAATTTTCATAATTAACACCCTACACAATAAAGATGATTAATCAATCCTTATAATTAAAAAAAAAATTATTTGAGTTAATGAACTTTTCATGGTTTGTACAAATGACTTGATTTGCATTTTATCTCTCCCAATCCACCGTGTGTCTGTGTGTGTATATATATAGATGAGTTATTATACAACGCTTAATTTCAACCGTTCATTTAATTTGATGAATATGTGATTTCATAAAAGATTTTATTGTTTTCTAATATAAAGTATTGATCATAATTAATGAGTTTTATTCATATTCCATAAATATTCAAATCATCATCAATAAACTCTCATTATTTTCAGAAATATCTCAAGTAACTAGATTGTATTTGGTTGTACAAATAGACAATGTTGCATTTGAAATATACCCTATATATATATATATATATATATATAGTGACCTAATCAAATGAGAAGTAGATAGTTTGTAGTAACTGTGAGGTTTAATATGAGTCAATCATTTTAGATAATTAATGTTATTTATTAAAAAAAACAAAGAGTAAATTAATAAATTGTATTGATTGTTCAATTTACTTTAATTATTTTAATATATGTATATATATATATATAGACACTGTACATGGACCAAATCCAGTGGCCTTCTCCGGCACCCACCACCACTCCGGTGACCTCCTGTCATTTTGTCTGACCAAGACGCCGTCTCCGATGATAACCATTAAAGACTCACCTGTGACAGTGGTATCAAAGTGGTACCACAATGGTCTCAAAGTTTACTTGGTGTATTTTAGGTATCACATTGTGTATCTTGGTGTATTTTGGGTATCACATGGTATTTATCGGAGGTAAGAGGAGAGATAAAAGATTTAAAATACCTAAAATGTTCTTTAATTAAAATTTTAAGTCAAATTAACAAAAAATATTAGTTTTCTAATTTATCCATTGATTTGTGGTTGAGATTAGATCTCACAGTTATCACAAATTAATCAGTTCTCCCTTAAATGAACCCCTCTCTCTCTCTGTGTATATATATATATATATATATATATATATATATATATATATATAATCAAAGTAAGTGTAATTAATGATTATATATGTAGGCTACCATTATTACAACAAGACTTATATTCTTGTACAAAGATATTGGCCAAAGCTGCATCATTTTGCCTCTATCTATACCTGTCCAACATTCAATTCTTTCTCTATCACCATTTCTTTTCTTTCTATCTTTATCTCCCCACTTGCATTTTGCTATTCTCATTTTTCATTTTATTAATCCCATATGTATACATACATGTGTATATATATATATATATATATATATATATATATATATAAACCGACTCTTAATTACATTATCGGAACGTTCCACCAAACGTAGGCGTCCAAAAATCAACTGTTGTTTCATGTGTCACTGGAAACGTACTTGAAACGGGCACCAGACATAGCCCACGACTTCTTAGATCTTGCCTAATTGGTCCTATGACTGATTTATCCACCGTCTACATAAATTAACATCCGAATTCAAATATACGAAACAAATCCATATACATACATACATATATAGGAAAACCACAAAAACTGAAGAAAAAAAAATGAGAAACACCCTAGTAACTATTAATTTATCTGTACGGTATGCATATATGCATACAAGTAATTTCTCAAGAATTTTTCTGGTATGTACACGTGCATAGAAACCAAGAAACATCTTCAATTACTTGTATGCAAATATACATATTGAACAGATGAACGGTTATTAGGATGTTTCTTATATTTTTCATACGTACCTGCTGGTGTTGCATTATGGAAGCTCCATTTTTCATGTATGGAGTACTTAGAACCTGGAATTAAATCATGACAATTTTAGATGCAATATTAAAATTAATTTAATTTAATTTTTAAATATGAATTAATACAGTAGAATATATATTATTATAAGGGTTTTTTTTTTTGTAATAATTATATATAATTGTAATAATTAAAGAAAATAAAAATTAGAGTAAAAAGGTGGACTTACACTAACTTGTTCATGTAAGAATTTGATGTATTCAATAGCTTCAGACAACACAGATGCCGTATCAGTCTGAAACCAATGAAGCATGAAAACTGGATTTCATGAATTCTTTATAATAATTAATAAATCAAGAAATTAAATTATATATACGAGGTTCAGGAAAAAATACAGAAAAATGAAAAACTACGGAACGCTTTTATAATCGTTTATCTGTAAGATATGCACATGTACATACAAATGAGTGAAGATGTTTTTCTTGTTTTTAATGCATTTGTACATGTTATACACATGTCCATACAAAACAAATTATATGTATGCACATGTGCATACTTACCCAATATAGATGAACGATTATTAGGGTGTTTTTCAGTTCTTAATTTGTTTCTGATTTTCATTTGAACTTGACAATATACATATATATATATATATATATATATATATATATTTCATATTCTTTTTTGGTCTAAGACTAGGATTTAGAATATCGATTAACATACATTTGTTTCATATGTCTTTGTTTCAAAATGTGAACATTTTTAGCCTGTTTGTGAAACTAAAAGTTACACGTTAAAATCACATTGTGAACCGTATACATACGATACGCACACATTGTGAAACAAATATATGTTCATTAATACATTAAATGTTAGTCTTAGATGGAAAAAAATGTTGTAAAACAATACCTTAAGATAAAAAGTTTTTTAAGATAATCTCATGATATACAAAGTTCTCTAATAATTAACCCAATATATATATATATATATATATATGTATATATATGGTTGGGTTCACGTGAGAACAAACTATTTTCGTAAGACCTATGAGACCATTTTTTTTATATTTGAAACTTCACAGCAAAACACAGTGAAGGTAAAAAGAAGCCGAACCTTCAGAGCAAAAACATTGTGAAGGTTATTTTTACAACGTTTTGCTGTGAAGTTTCAAATGTAAAAAAGTGGTCTCATGAGTCTCACGAAAACAGACTGGTGTTTCTCTCTCACACACATATATCTATATAGAGGAGTGTTTAAATAAAAACCACCCAATTTGTACAAACCATAAAAACCACATTCAACCAATCAAAATTTTTCATTTTGTTCATTTTTTTTTTGTAATTATGAGAGGTTGATTAACCATTTTTATTGTGGAGGGTGTTGATCATGGATACTATCATCTTCGTTATTTTAATTTTAGAGAAATACATGAAACAGTTTCATTAAAATTTCATTAAATATTATATGAAACAATTTCATAACCATATATGAAACAAATTCATCAAAAAAAGTATTATATGAAACAATTTCATAACCATATATGAAACAAATTCATCAAAAAAAATATTATATGAAACAATTTCACAAAATTAAACAATTTCATGAAATTTTTTCATAAGATTAAACAATGAAATCGACGTATGAGAGTGATTTGTACGGTTTGTACAAATGAAGGTGGTTTTCATTTGATTGCTCTTATATATATATATATATATATATATTATATCCATAAAGATGAGAATTCAAAAAATTGATCATACTTTTCCGAAAGGCGAAACTAATTGTTGGAGTGCAGTGATTCTGTCCCCCATCTTCTCCTTTTTCACCTGAAAAATCCAAACACAAATTTCTGTCATCTTTATGCATATATATCACACAACAATTTATTATATCATTAATCTTCAAATTAATACCTTTTTATTTGCATTATATATATATATATATATATATATATATATATACCTAATTAATTAGTTTTAAAATACACTAATTAATTAATTAAAAAGACAATGATCATATATACCTTACTAAAAGCCGCTAAAGGTGATTGGGTTTCGGTTCGGGGTCTTTTGTTTGATGATGATTCGCTGCTGCTTTCTTTCACTGTTTTGGATGTCATCTGTGACGTGAATTTTAGCACAAATTGATTCAACGAAAAACAGACAGAATATGGAAATTTAGGGTTTCAAGATCACTGAAACCCTAGCTCTTTTTCATTAGGGTTTGCAGGTTTTGTTACCTTAGGTTTATCCTCAAAGCTTGAAGAGGGCAATTGCATTTGCAAAGATGGGAAAAACCCTGATCGGATATCGTTTACGCCCCCACCAGATGCATTCCAAAACCGTGCGTTGTTAGAGAAGTGCAGTTGGTTGCCCCCGATGTCCGCTATTGGTAGCTGTACTTTCGGATGTGCATTTATGGCAAACTCTTGAGGTTGAGGAGGAAATTTGGACCAGTTAGAAGACGACAACTCCCCGNACCACCGCCCCCACCGCCAGGCATGTTCATGCTGCCATAGCTTGATTGATACAAAGAGTAACTCATTCCTTGGTTTTGATCGAAACCCGAATCTTGTTGCTGATTGTTGTTATCTGAACCGAATAAACTTTGCATTATAGTTGAAGCTGGGCTTCCATATAAATCCATACTTTGGAAGCTTGAATTGAGTCCTTGGCATGTGATTATGCTTTCGTTATCGCTGTCGTGCATCGGTTGATCCAACTGAAATCCCCTAACGACGTTAATTTGCTTGAAATCGGATGCCGAATCTTGTGAATTAGCCGAATACATCTTTTGTGATCTCCATTGGTTATTTTCCAGCTGAAAAGTGTTTGTGTTCGAGCTCAAATTATTATCTTGATCTTGAAGTAGATTCCGGTAACCACTCTGGTTGCTTTTTTGATCTCCCCGACTACAAATTTACAGCAAAGTAAACAGTTTTAACACACACACACACACACGCGTATACAGGGTCGGGTCAAGGGAAAACTATAAAAATAAGAAATAAAAAACTGAGGAACACTTTGGTAACCATTAACGAAATGCACATGTGCATACAAATTAATAACTGAAACTATTTCTTGTTTCTTATGCATGTCATGCACATGTGCATACCGGACAAATGCTTACAGATTACCAATATGCACATGTGAATGCCCCGTCAAGATGAACGGTTATCACCTTTTTTTTACAGCTTTTTCTGAACCTAATCCTTATATTCCTTCATTTGGTGGATGAAAAAGAGAAGGAAATTCAAGGATTAAATATAAATGCAATAAAGAAAAAGAAATTAAAGAAACTTATCAAGAAATGTTAGTGGACATACAGCAAAGCTTGGTTCCAATCCAACGACTGTGGAAGTGACTGTGAAGAAAGTCCCAACCCCATCATGTGTAAGCTGGTGGTGGCGGTGGCGGTGGCGGTGGTGGTGGCGGCGGCGGTGGTGGTATGATCATGGGTATCTTGGAAGAGGTCAATGGAGCTGGTAACAGAAACTGAATCCAAACAAGGCCTTGTTCTTGATGATGAATCCCACCAGTTATCAGCCATGGGTTGGATATGTAGATGTTATCAGATTCTTGATCAAATGAAATGAAAAGGATTTGGTTGATGTTGGTATTTATATGTGGTTGAAGATGAGATTTAGAGTGTGGGAAAGAAATAAAGTTGACTTTTTGTTAAGTTCTTCAAGTGAGATGGATGGATGATGGAGTAGACAACATAAATATCTTGTTGAAAATCAAATTCAATTGGTCAAAACCTTGTTTCAATTCATTGTCTTTCTGATTCAATGCTTTTCTTTTTGAATATGTGATTGTATCACTGCTGGAAAACAAGGTATCAGTGACGAAAATCAACGATAGAAAAAATCTATTGTTATGTGATATACGTATATACATATACACATATGTATATATAAGGTCATGTTAACGATAATTAAATAAGAAAACACATGTGATTTTAGATTAAAATCACATAAAAAATCACATGTGGTATGTGATTTGCATTGTGTACAGCATGTACATATTCCATAATCATATGTGATTTTAATGAAAAATCACATGTGAATTTGTCGTTATCGTGTTTTTTTATTTTGATTCTCTCTCTCTCTCTCTCTCTCTCTCTCTATATATATATATATATATATATAGTCAAACAAGAATCTCTGACTATCTGTTGGTTTTTTTAGTGTCATCAAACATTTTTATGTAATTTTGATTTACTTGAGCTTGATTAAGGTGCTAAGACAAATATATGTAAGTTAGGTGGTGCGGAGTGCACACTTACAATTGTTGCCTCTATCACCTTAGATCGCCATAAAGTAGGAATCAAGGGGACGGGGTTCCAAGGGGCTAAGCCCCTTGGCAGTGGATGATGTTCGACCTATCGCCGATTGGCTTCAGCTGTCGTTGAGAGGCCTTCAGCTATTGATCATCTTACGCTGAAGTTATCTTCAACTATCGCTGAAGATGCATGTTCCAGAACTTTAAACTATGTTGTAACTATCTTTTGACCTTATCCATTAACGGTTATAACCATTCAACCGCTAATGACCCGTCAATAACCGTCTATCTCTCATTTAAATATCTAAAACAAGAATCTTGATATATATATCTCGTTTTTCACAGCCTTTGGAAAAGTGAGAATAATCTAAAGAATTTTCTCAATACGAAATTCGTGAACCCAAAGGATAATAGGGTCGAATTATTGTATTCGAAAAGTACTTTCCAACACGATTCTTGAATTATATCCAGTCCCTATATCATCTTATACATAGTCCCTAACACTATAAATACTATGATCAAACCCTAATATGTTCAATGAAGTTTTTGTACAAGAATCTTGATTTTAATCTTCAATCGTTTGTGAAATAACATTTTATCAGTCTTTTATATATTTTTCATTCTTATTTCCATATTATTGATGTTGAAATAATATATGATACCTACAAACTGAAGCTTTGAAGTAAGGCAAATTGCATGAAAAGTAACATATTTTGACTTGATTCATATTTTTGGTAATATGTTTTCAAAACTTTCATTTTAGTATCTAAGATGTAAAGTTTTAAATATTTAAGTACCCATGTAACCGGTTAAAGCATTAACCGGTTACCATGCTGATGTGACGAGTAATGTTGTATCCAACTCAGTATTATTTGCTAAAGCATTAATCAGATGCCACATCAACAAATTAACCGGTTAATGCTTCAACCTGTTATCCAGAACCTTAAATGTTTGAAACCTTACATCTTATGTACCAAAATATAAGTTTCGAAAGTACGTTACCCAAAATAGAAATTAAGTTAAATTACTTTACTTTTTCATGCAATTTATCTTTTGAAGTATTATCACAGTTCTTAATTTGTTAGGTTAACAATTATAAGATAAAAATGTAAAAACATGTTTTTTTGTTGTTTTTATTTTAAATAATGAACATCATATATATATATATATATATATATATATATATATGAAGCCAAATATCTTATTTGAATGAATACAAAGAAGACAACACATCACTTCAATTCTACTTTTGCTTTTTAAATTTATAAATAAGATGCTAATCAAATCACATATTATATAATTTATTTATATTTTTAATCCATTTATTGATTGATTTATGTTAATAATCTGTTGAGTAATTAGTGATTAATTAATTAACATGTGTATGCAAATTCAAATTCTTACAATTTACATTATTTTTAGAAATTCATTTTACTCGAAACCGTTTGACTTAAACTGGCGGTATCTATGAAATCTCGGAAATTATAACTCGGAATCCTGCTTCGACTAATCAAATGCTAAAAATAACGATAATATTTTTAAGTTATTAACAAAGCAAGTCGTTTATTTTAATCACATTTACATTGCATTCTCGAATTTAAGAAGGAAAAAATGTCGAGGAAAAGAACAAAAAGAAATATTTCAATTTTGCAAATATGTCCTATTGTCTAGAGGGGTGCTTAAAAACCCGAATAACCCAACTCAATGCAACGCGAAATAACTCAATCCAAAGCAACCCGATATCTAATCGAGTTGTAAAATTTTCAAAACATATGTATTGGGTTGATATTGAGTTACTATTATTTGAATCCAACCCGATGAACGCGATATCATTTTATTTTTTGAATTTAATATGGTTGTTGAATTTCTATTAATATATACATTGGACAATTACACTATCATGTACGTTATTCATATATACATATTTTCAATCTATTCACATCTCTATATAACTTATTCGTATATATGTTCAGTAATTGTGAACATATATATGTAAATTGAGAAAACTAACTGAATGTCATATACGTAAGAAGTATGGATAAGTTGTATCAAATTGTTGATGATGAAAAAGAAACCTATGAGTAGAGAAATAGCATTTTCAAGACTAGAAGAATATTTTAATGTACCAAAGTATCAACCCAACCAATCCGTACGATTTAGATTGGGTTGAGTTGGGTTGCACTTTGATTTGGCTTGGTTTGGTTTGGGTTCGGTTGGGTTGGGTTGAATTAAGATTTTTCAAACCGCAAGCATTGGATTGGGTTATTCAAATGTCTTCAATCCGATCAACCCAACCCATAAGCACTCATATGATTGTATATATTTATTTTGTAGGAGATTATAATTGATCGGCATAATGTAATTTTATAATTGTATTAATTATTTTGGAAGGAAAACCAGCTTTATTTTCTTTTGTTTTCCCTCCTAAAAACAACTCACAATTTAGAATTGAGACATCCTTCATAACTCCCGGTCTAAAGAGTCTCATAAATAACTCACAAAGTGTATTTACTATGATGCTATAAATACACGATTACATGTGATTGTGTGCCTGATCAAATAACAGTGGTGTTATCATGTGCACAGTCAAACAACATATGTTTATTAAAGTGAAAAAAATGTATAATCCAATTGTACTCGTACACAATCACAGTTAGTCATTAACAAGGATGTCATATTATACACAAATCACATGTGATTGTTTATTAGATCAGTATTGGTTCTATGTATATTCACTTGTGATTATGTGTATTTGATATAATTTCTGATTCATCCGTTTTAATGCAAATTTAGAATCCTCATCATGCAACTTCATATAGAATTTAACATGTGAAATTGTAATGTAAATGTCGGGTCTCGAACGGATGACTGTATCATAAATAACTGTAGAAGCTGTTGATTACAAATCTTTTCAAAGTTTAAGATAACTTCTTATTCAACACAAGTGTGAGTCTTATATAAATGTGTTACAGTAAGTTGATATAATGTTATCAGACGTCCTAACAAATTCTTTAAGAAATTATTAAAATAAAACATATTATGATTCAACGCAAGGTGGATCGAGAGGTGACAATCGTTCTTCACGGATGGTGGACAACCTTTCCTCACGATGCGACACAATGGATGATCTCCTTTCAGTGGCTGATTCGGCTTATGAAGCCAATAAAGGACATCTTGAATGTTGTCATCATGGTGTTCATCTGGGCTCTTTGGCGGGCTAGAAACAGATCAGTTTTCTAGGGGAAACATACGACAATTTACCTTACTGTTAACGAGGTGCATTTGTGAGCTTTTTCAAGATTAGGAACATGCTCGAAAAATGGTTCCAGATTAGACTGGAATGTTTGGTCTAGTGACCCTCGTTAGTTCTATTTTCTTATCAAATTTATTACAAAAACGTCTTAAAAAACTTGTTAGGATGTCTAAAGAAGTTATATCAACTTATTGTAACATCTTTATATATGACGTATAATTACTTAATTTCACAAAATTAAGTTATATAAAGCAGTTATTAGAAAATTTAGACATATCTGACATCTGATTATTGACCAGAATCTGTAATAATGTAAAGCAAAATGTAAATGTGTTGCAAAGACATTGTGAAAAACAATGCCAAACAATGTTAATGATTACCATCTACTTCAAGAATTTATGACATGATGTTTTATGCTTTTCCATAATTTACCAATTATTTTTCAATCCTTTTTCCTAAAAAATTATATGGTTTTTGTTCATATAATAGTAGGGACAATTCACTCTCCATGAATTAATTCAACATGAAAACCATTTTACTGACATGCGATCGTGTTTTTCATAGGATTTATCGTTACTTATATCAGTATTTATACTTTTGATATGTCGTGTCATAAATAACATTCACCAATTGAAAGAGTACAATTAAGAAAAAATAGCGTATATATGTCTATATATATATATATATATATATATATAGAGAGAGAGAGAGAGAGAGAGAGAGGGGGGAGGGTTTATTTAATGGAGAACTGGTTAGTTTGTGATAATTGTGAGATAAAATCTCAACCAAAAAGCATTTTAGGTATTTAAATTTTTTTTATCTCTCCAGCTTCCAATCTCCGGTAAACCTTATTTTGACGAATACCATGTGATACTCAAAATACATCAAGATTCACAATGTGATATCAAAAACACACCAAGTAAACTTCGATACCACTATGATACCAAATGTGGTACCATTGTGATACAAACTGTAGTATCACTATGATATGTACGTTGTATATGTGTGTGTGT